TATATTAAGACCACTCTCTCCATACCTCTTCAATATTGTACTAGAAGGTCTAGCTAGAGCAGTAAGACAAGACATCAAGGGGCTACAAACGGGAAAGGAAGAAATCAAACTTTCACTATTTGCAGATGATATGATAGTTTATATAACTAACCTGAAAAACTCAACCAGGAAACTCCTACAGATGATAACCACCTTAGCAAACTGGTAGGATACAAAATTAACTAAAAAAATCAGTAGCCCTACTATATACAGACAATGAATGGGCTGAGGAGGAAATCAGAGAAACATCACACTTTACAGTACTCGCAAACAATATAATATCTTGGGGGTAATGCTAAAAAGTGAAACACCTGTATAGTAAGAACTCTAAGTCTTTAAAGAAAGAAATTAAAGAAGATACCAGAAAATGGAAAGATCTCCCATGCTCTTGGATAGGTAGGATCAACACAGTAAAAATGACAATCTTGCCAAAAGCAATCTACAGATTCAATGCTATCCCCATCACAATGCAAGCACAATTCTTCACAACCTTAAAAGAACAATACTCAATTCTATTTGGAAAAACAAAAAACCTGGGATAGCCAAAACAACCCTGTACAATAAAGTAACTTCTGGAGGCATCACCATCCCTTACTTCAAGATCTATTTTAGAGCCATAATCCTAAAAACAGCTTGGTATTGGCACAATAGTAGACAGGTAGACCAATGGAATCAAATTGAAAACCATGATATTAACCCACACACCTATAAACACCTGATTTTTGACAAAGAAGCTAAAAGTATACAATGAAAAAAAGAAAGTATCTTGAACAAATGATGCTGCCACAACTGGATGCTGGCATGTAGAAAACTGCAGATAGATCCATATCTACCTCCATGCACAAAACTTAAGTCCAAATGGACCAAAGATTTCAACATAAACCTAGCCACACTGAACCTCTCAGAAGAGAAAGTAGGAGGTACTCTTGAACGAATTGGTACAGGAGACTACTTCCTGAACATAATACCATTAGCACAGACACTGAGATCGACAATTAATTAATGGGGCCTCCTGAAACTGAGGAGCTTCTGAAAGGTAAAGGACACCATCAACAATACAAAAAGGCAGCCCACAGAATGGGAAAAGATCTTCACCAACCCCACATCTGACAGAGGGCTGATTTCCAAAATATATAATGAATTCAAGAAGCTAGTCACCAAACAATGCAATTAAAAAGTGGGGTACAGAGCTAAATAGAGAATTCTCAATAGAGGATTCTAAAATGACTGAAAGACACTTAATAAAGTGCTCAACATCCTTAGCCATCAGGAAATGCAAATCAAAACAACTCTGAGATACCATCTTACACTGGCCTGAATGGCTAAAATCAAAAACACCAATGACAGTCTATGCTGGAGAGGATGTGGAGAAAGAGGAACACTTCTCCATTGCTGGTTGGAGTGCAAACTCTTACAGCCACTTTGGAAATCAGTATGGTGGTTTCTCAGGAAAATGGGAATCAATCTACCTCCAATCTAGTAATTCCTCTCTTGGGCATATACCCAAAGAATGCACGTTCATACAACAAGGACATCTGTTCAACTATGTTCATAGCAGCGTTGTTTGTAATTACCAGAACCTGGAAGCAACCTAGATGCCCTTCAACTGAAGAATGGATCAAGAAAACATGGTACATTTACACAATGGAATATTATTCAGTGGCAAAAAACAATGAAATCTTGAAATTCACAGGCAAGTTGATGGAACTGTAAGAAAACATCCTGATTGAGGTAACCCAATCACAGAAAGACACCAGGGCATATACTCACTCATATATGGATATTAAACCTAGAACAAAGGACTATCAGCCTATAATCCACACCACCAGAGAAACTAGGAAACAAAGAGGACCCCAAGAGAAGAGCACATGATTCCCCAAAGAAGGGAAGGGGACAATAACCCCTGAGCAAATTGGGAGCAGGGGTGGGGAGGAAGGTGGGAAGGGGAGAAGGGGAAGGGGGATGAGAACAGTAGGACTGAGACAGGGGAGGAATAGAGGAGGGCATGAAAGGAGATGTTTTGACAGAGGGAGCCAGTATAGGTTTGGAGAGAGGTCTGGTACAGGAGAAATGTTAGGGGATCTACAGGAATGACTCCAACTAAGAATCTAGGCAATGTTAGAGAGGCTGCCTTTGATGCCCTTCCCCTATAATGAGATTGATGACTACCTTGGTTGCCATTCCTAGAGCCTTCATCCAGTAGCTGATGGAAGCAGAAACAGGCACCCACAGCTAAACACTGAGCCACATTCCTGGAATCCAGTTGTGGATAGGGAGGAGGGCTAAGCAAAGAGCCAAGATGGTACTGAAGAAACATGCAGAAACAGTTGACCTGACCTAGTGAGAGTATAGAGACCCTAGACGTAAAGCTGGAGAACCAGCATTAGACTGAACCAAGCCCTCTGAATGTTGGTGTCAGCTAGGAGGCCAGGGCATTCTATAGGACCTCTAACAGTGGACCCAGTGTTTATCTCTAGAGCACAAATGGACTTGGGGAGCCCATTCCCTATGGAGGGATATCATTGCATCTCAGATACGGGAAGGAAAACCTGGGTCCTTCCCCAAATGTTGTGAAGTACTTTGAAGGTCCCCCCATGGAAGGACTCACTATCTCTGGTGAGTGGTTGAGGGGTGGGTTGCAGGGTTGTTGAGAAGCATAGGAGGATGTGAGGGTGAAGTAATGGGGGATTGATATGTAAATAAAAGTGTTTCTAAAATGTATGTATGTATGTATGTATGTATGTATGTATGTATAAAGAATCTTGGGCAATATATCTTGACTCTACTCACATCCTACTTCAGCTCCTTTCAGATCCACTCCTCTCTTCTGTATATATCTAATCTTGTGTCCTCCTCCCTTTCTTTTTTATTTTTAAAACCATTGAATCCAATCTGCAATGACCATTTATTCCTGAATATGTGGTCTTCCACTGGAGCATCATTGACCTATCAGGGATATCATTCTTAAAGAAAATTGGCTCTCCTCTCATCAGTCACCAAATACCAGTAGTTCCTCAAGCTGGGGTAGAATGTCACACTAAACTCCCTGCTCCATGCTGGGATTTGTTTTGTATTGAGCTGTCACACATTTGCATGCTGTGAGTTCAAACAACATTTCCTTGTCAACCACCATCTCTAGTTCTTATAATCCTTATGCCCCCTCTTCCACAATGATCTTGAAACCTTTGGAGGAGGGAATGTGATACAGATGACCCATTTAGGGCTGTAAAATCTATAGTCTTTTATCCTCTGTACCCTAAGCAGTTGTATTAATAGCTATCTATAGAAAATATAAGCTACTCTGTTAAGGGTTACAAGATGCATTAACAAAACAAACCCAATTAAAAATAGGTTATAAAACTGAACAGAGAATTCTCAACAGATGAAATACAAATGGATGAAAATTAAAAAAAATATTAGCATCCTTAACAATCAGGGAAATGTAAATGGAAGTTTCTCTCCTGCCTACCAGTTCCTGAATAAATTCTCAGAGGCTTAATATTAATTATAATTGTTTGACCAATGACTCAGGCATATTACTGACTATCTCTCACAATCAAATTAACCCATTTATACTAATCTATATATCAGCACATGTCTGTGGCTTACCAGTAATGTTCTGGCTTCTAACTCCTTCAGCAGCTACATGGCATCTCTCAGACTCTGCCTTTTTCCTCTCTGTATCTTTGTTTGAATTTCCCACCTAGGTATAGTCTGACCTGCCATAGGCCAAAACAGCTTTATTCATCAACCAATAAAAGCAGCACATATTCACAAAATAAAGAAGGACATCCTACATCAGGGAAATGCAAAATAAAATTGCTTTGAGATTTCACCTTACCCCAGTTAGTATGGCCAAGATCAGATAACTTAAATGAAAGCAGATACTTGCAAGAATGTGAGGAAAGAGGAACACTTATTCACTATTTGTGGGAGTAAAGACTGCTTCAGCCACTGTGGATATAATATTGAAATCACTATGGAGGTTCCTCAAAAAGCTAGAAGTAGATGCACCACGTGATCCAGTTAAATCACTCTTGGGCATACACTTTAAGACTCCATTTCACACTATAACGATGACCACTGCTCATCAATGTTTATTGCTTTTCTACTTACAGTAGCCAACAACTGAAAAAGGCCTAAATTCTCATTATATGATTAATGGATAAGGAAAATATGGTACATTTACATAATACAATATTATTTAGTGATTAGGAAAAACAAGCACAACAACAAACAAAAGAAAAATCCTTGTTTTGTCTAATAACGCCAGTGTCTTCATGTGTAGAGTAAAAAGACCTATCATAGTGTTTGGGAAAGCACATTGGTACTAAGAAGAACTTTCAGAAGGCATCCAAATCAAAGAAATAGGATGGAGTAGAAAATTAGAGAGTTTTCGATTATTGTCTTATCACTGCCTCTGTTAGTGATGACTATGAGGAAATTTGGGTTATTCTCTCTGCTTGTTTCTACATGTATGAGAAAGAAGAGACACTCTGCATTTTCTAAACTACTACTGATTTTGATTTCTGTGTTCATATGTTGGGGCCTGAACCTGGTCCCAGGTTTTATGACTCTGTTCTTTTGTGATCAAGTGTCTGGTCTAGACTGGAGGTAAGTTCTCAATAACAACATTTATCTTTAGTTTGAGCGATCAAATGTCTGCCAGGTACTATTCCCAGCAATATTGTGTCCAGGATTTCTGCTTGTTTGTCTGCTGCTGAAATGAGACTGGATCATGTACCTGGCAAACTTCAGGCAAATGTAGAAGGAAGACTGCAAGTGTTGAGTACTTTTCTCTTCCTACACAGGCAATTATTCAAGCAAATAGAAATTGCTTGCTCTGTGGGTCAGGATGTACAGCTATTAAAATTGTCTTGTCTATTTAGTGAAATCTTCCAGAATTCAAATGGTTAGTCATGTAATTGTTGCCTATTAAGAACTCTTATTTTCCTTTGCAGACTCTCTCCCAAGCATGCTCCAGATATTCCTGATGACAGCACTGATAACATCACAATTTTCACTAGAATCTTGGATCGGCTTCTGGATGGTTATGATAACCGGCTGCGACCTGGGCTTGGAGGTCAGTTATTCTTTTTATAAGCCCTCTGCTAAGATATTTCCCCTGAAAAAAGCGATAAGGTGCCTTCTGCTGACCAAGGGGCTTAGTGTACAGTTGAGTTTCTTCCCTCTGAGCATTAGAATTTCATTCTAATCCTTCAATTCAGTCAGTGACCTCTTATCTACTTTTGTAGGATTTCATTAAGTATGACAAACCTATTATTCTATGGGCTATGCTGAATGGCAAGTATGCAAGTGTATGTGTTTATTTCTCCTCAAATGATTTGATAGATAGTCACATATACTATGCCCTTTTATTGATAGACTTCATTACACAATTCCGTAAAACAAAGGAATTATCTTATAAATAATGCATATAACTTAACCTAATACTCATTTCTAGTTTGTGTTCCATATTCAGATTTTCTAATTATAAGCAAAATGTCCCTTACAACAATCTAACTTATTTGGATTCCATCCGGGTTTGAATATCACCATACCTCTTTAACCTATAATCTGATAGTTACTACTTTATGATGTTGCTAAGGTGATCTTTATTCATTTTTGGAAATAAAAGCTCAAGAGCTAATTGGGTCTTTCTAGGGGAATTATTCAAGAAGGAGACACTGTGTGTGTGTGTGTTCAATTGTTTTAAAATTTTTATTTTTAAATTTAAATTTAAATTAGAAACAAGGTTGCTTCACATGTTAATCCCAGGTCCCACTCCCTTTCCCTCACCTCCTCCCATGCCCTCCCACCAACTCCCCCCATAATTCCTCCTTTCCCCAGGGAGGGTGACACCATCCATGGGGGTGTCCATAGTCTGCCATTTCATCCAGGGCAGGACCTAGGTCCTCCCCCAAGAGTCCAGGGTGAGAGTGCATCTCTCATTGTTGGAAGGGTACCCAAAGTCCTTTCGTCTGCCAGGGATGCATACTGGTCTACTACCCAAGGCCCCATAGACTGCCTAGGCCTCCTCATTGACACCTACATTCAGGGGGTCTTGATAAGTCCCATGCTGGATTTCCAGCCACCAGTCTGGGATTCAAGAGCTCCCCCTTGTTCAGGTCAGCTGTTTGTGGGGGTTAAACTAGCCCAGTCTTAACCCTGTTGCTCATCAGTCCTCCCTTTCTATCACTGGGTTCCTTGAGTTCAGCTCAGTGTTTAGCTGTGGGAGTCTGCCTCTGCTTCCATCAGTCACTGGATGAAGGTTTTGTTTCCCAGACTCTCTGGCAGTGGGATTGTAGGTTGGCATTCCCCAGATATATGTCTAAAATCCATATATGAGTGAGTACATAACATGTTTGTCTTTTTGTGACTGGGTTACCTCACTCAGGATGGTTTCTTCTAGTGCCATCCATTTGCCTGCAAATTTCAGGATTCCATTTTTTTTCTGCTGAATGGTACTCCACTGTGTAAATGTACCACATTTTCTCCATCCACTCTTCAGTTGAGGGGCATCTAGGTTGCTTCCAAGTTCTGGCTATTACAAATAATGCTGCTATAAACATATTGGAACAGATTTCCTTGTTGTATGAATGTGCATCTTTTGAATATATGCCTAAGAGTGGAATTGCTGGGTCTTATTGGTAGGCTGATTCCCATTTTTCTGAGGAATTTCCATACTGATTTCCAAAGTGGCTGTACGAGTTGGCACTCCCACCATCAGTGGAGGAGTGTTCCCCTTTCTCTACAACCTCTCCAGCATAGAGTGTCATTGGTGTTTTAATTTTAGCCATTCTGACAGGAGTGAGACTGTATCTCAGAGTTGTTTGATTTGCATTTCTCTGATAGCTAGGGATGTTGAGCACTTTCTTAAGTGACTCTCAGTCATTTTAGCCTCCTCTAATGAGAATTCTCTATTTAGTTCTGTAGCCCACTTTTTAATGGGATCCTTTGGTGGTTTGGAGATTTGCTTCTTGAGTTCTTTGTAAATTTTGGATATCAGTCCTCTGTCAGATGTGGGGTTAGTGAATATCTTTTCCCATTCTGTGGGCTGCCTTTTTGTCTTGTTGACTGTGTCCTTTGCCTTACAAAAACTTCTCAGTTTCAGGAGGTCCCATTTATTAATTGTTGACCTCACTGTCTATGCTACTGGTGTTACATTCAGGAAGCGGTCTCCTGTACTAATTTGTTCAAGGGTACCACCCACTTTTTCTTATGATATTCCAGTGTGGCTGGATTTATGTCGAGGTCTTTGATCCATTTGGACTTAAGTTTTGTGCATGGCAATAGACATGAATCTGCAGTTTTTTTACATGCCAACATCCAGTTATGCCAGCACCATTTTTTGCAGATGCTTTCCTTTTTTCATTGTATATTTTTTGCTTCTTTGCCAAAGATCAGATGTTCATACATGTATGGGATAATATCAGGGTGGTCAGTTTGATTCCATTGGTCTACCTGTCTATTTTTGCGCCAATACCAAACTGTTCTGCACTACAGCTCTATAATAGAGCTTGAAGTTAGGGATGGTGATGGTGATGCCTCCACTTATTGCTTTTTGAATAAGGTTGTTTTGGCCATCCTGGGTCTTTTGTTTTTCATACAAAGTTTATCTTTGTTCTTGAAAGACCTTGAAAGTTGTTCTTTCAAGGTCTGTGAAGAATTGTGCTGGTATTTTAATGGGGATTGAATTTAATCTGTAGATTGCCTTTGTCAGGATTGCTATTTTTACTATATTGATCTTACCTATCCAAGAGCATGGGAGATCTTTCCATTTTCTGATGTCTTCTTAAATTTCTTTCTTTAAAGACTCAAAGTTCTTGTGATACAGGTCTTTCACTTGTTTGGTTAGCATTACCCCAAAGTATTTTATGTTGAATAAAATTGATGAAAGTAACAACCTTTTAACTTATTCCAGATCTTAAGGAAAAGATTTCAGTTTCTCCTCATTCAACAGCCCTTTTTTTATAAAATAAAGAATAGTCTTTATTATGTTGAATTCCTTTCCTACTATACCCATTTTACTCACAGTTTTTAAAATTAGGTGAGAGTGATTTTATCAAATATGCTTTCTGGATTTATTAAGGTCTTTGATTTTTAGATGAGATCATACCATGTGGACCTGCCAGTCTTAGAACTCACTGTGTAGTCCAGACTGACATTGAATTCATGGACGTCTGCCTACTTTTGTTTCTTGTGTGCTCTAGGATTAAAGGCATGTTCCATCATGTTTAACCAATAATTTAAATAGTGTTTTTTCTAGACTCTGAGTTATTATGTTGTGATGTCCACAAAATAACATCACTCTGCTACTAGAATCTGAAGTTTTTCTCTGCATCTTTTTAATGAGGGTATTATAAAAAACTAAATCCAACTGGAAGAATAATTAGAGTGCATCTGTGACTCTGAGTTGTCTCTGTAGCAAAAAGACCTCTTATTGAAGGTGTTTACTAGGGAACTGGGGAAGCAATTGAGATCCCTTTGAGACTTATTATTCACTGACTCCTAAAATGAATTTTCTTTATAACATTGAAAAAACCTTCTTGAAGCTAGTTTCTGGAAATTATAATACAATGTCTCCTGAAGAGAGTCAATTAGAAACCTGGGATATTTCCAGGAGTACAGCACATTGCTTTTTTTTTTTTGCTTTAATTATCTGTTCTTGAAAATTTTAACTCCACTGGTCTTATTGGTTTCATGTTCCTACTAAATTTTCTTTGATGTGAAAAAGTCACAACACTTACCTAAAGGGATCCAAGTATTCCTAGATTTGTATTGTGTTGACATATTATTTTGTTGAACTTTTAGGATGGGTGAGTGCTTGTCAGGCAAAAGGAAAGAAGCTTGTCACTAGTATTGAATATTATTCTCTGATAAAAGGGATGATTAAAGAATAAGGATTAGCTTTATTAAATGAATTATGAAACATCTAACCTGGACAAAATATAGTCCTTCATCACTTAATCTTGACTGTGAGTATCATTGCTAGGAGAAAAGGACTAAGGAAATAATGTAATATAAAAAATCAAAGGCATATATTTCATCCATTACCCTTTTGGAGGTCAACTCTCCTCTCCCCTGATGACAGTGTTGAACTAAGAAAGTATTCTTTGAAAACAGTTGAAGTTCTAGAGGAGATGGCTCAATTGGTAAAGTGCTTGCTGTGCAAGCATGACGAACTAAATTTGATCCATAGAACTCGCATATAAATTCAGACATACAGGGTATGTATGTAATACCAGTGCTGGTGGGGCAGAGAAAGAGAGTCCCTGGTTGAATAGGCAGGTGTCGGGTTCAGTTAGGAAGACATTTGATGTTAACTTTTGTCTCCTCATGCAAGTACATGTTCTAGCTGCAATATTTCTCCTAATTGTTCCTTTTCTTGTTTCTCCAGCTGGTCTAGAGTGTAGCCTAATTTCCTAGAAACCTTTCCATTTCTGTCATATTGTCTTTCACCGTGAACTTCAGTGTTTTGTGAATACATACTTATACTTGAATTTTTCCATACTTTAATGCAAATGAAGTTAACTCTTTTAGGGGAGAGATTTAATATTTTTTGTTCTAAGGTTTTTCCATAACTGATTGTTATACAGTAGCACACTATTGTCTGAGAGGCATCTTCATTATACTAGTTGAGGTCTTGGTTACAGGAATGCTAAAAGTGGGCCAAATCTTATTAGCTTCTGGTTTTGGGTCAGAATAAAAGGCATTTGGAGCTACAAATTTGCAATATGGAGGCTGGGAGGACAAAGCAGACACTCACCTCCAAGCTAAATTTCCCAAAATTCAGTTTCAGAAACAGGTAACACTGACTAGTGTGAAAAATACTGTCATCTTGTTCTTTGATAGAAAATAGCTCTCCAAATGAAAAGTAGAACCAGACAGTTCTTGGCTGCACAGGTCTGGCATACTTTCTGTCTCACTGAGCTAGGAAAGGAGTAGGCAGGAATAGCTCTCTTGTTTTAAACATTATGGGTTCTTGCTTCCCTCACTAAATTTTAGATTTTCTTGAACACATTTATTCCTTATTTTCTGTATGCCATCAGGACCATTTCCTGGAACTTCAAGTGTTTCAAT